ATCAAAGGAAATAATAACAACAACAATAATAATAATATAAAGCGAACTTAATGGCGCCAATAAAATGAAGGCTATCAACACCTTAGCTGTACCCGTGGTAATAATATACAGCTTCAACATTATTAAATTGTAGTTAAATGACATTAAAAGATTAGACGCCAAGACCAGAAAAACGCTTACCCAAATGAGGATGCATCACCAGAAAGATGTTGATAGGATGTACATATCAAGAGCTTTAGGAGGCTGAGGTCTAATCCAAATTGAACTAACTCTAAAAACTACAACAATCGGATTGGAAGCATACCACACAAAAACCAATGACCATCTTCTACAAATAGTAAAAGACCAAATTCAAACCATCAAGAAAGAATCTGCACTCTTCAAGAAAGAGCACAATATAACTGAAATCTTACAAACAAAAAAACCAAGCAAATACCATCTACTCCAAACGAGTAAAACAGGCAGCAAAACAACTGGGCTATATGAAATTACAAGGTGTTGCGTGGCAAATACCTAGAAAGAACGAAAGAAGCAGATGTGGGCCAACAGAAAACACATCACTGGGTTGAAAGCTGAGAGAGAAGGCCTAATTATTGCAGCACAGGACCAAAGCCTCGCAACCAGATTCTATCATTGTCACATTATCAAGGATGGAACTAACTCAAAATGCATAATCTGCGGAAATATAATGAAACTGTCGGCCATATTTTCTGAGGATGTCCGGAACTAGCAAAAATGAATATACCCACAGACATAATAACGAACAAGACCAAGATGATGCAAAGAAATATTTAGGAATTAATGAAGGAGACTGAATCCGACATACAATTATGAAGATACAGATCCAAAACGAATATTATAAGAGACTACGTTTGATACTAGAAAGCGAACTAAATGGGGACCCGAAAGATGTGGATAGGATGTACGTATCAAGGGCTTTAGGAGGTGGAGGTCTAATCCAATTAAGTATAAAAACTAAAACAATCGGATTGGAAGCATACCTCACAAAAACCAATGATCCTCAAATCTACAAATAGTAAAACATCAATTTCCCTCCATCATCAAAGCTGCACTCTTCCAGAAACAGCTTCATATACCTAAAATCCTTTCCAACAAAAAACGATGCGAATAACATCTAGGTCAAGCGAGTAAAAAGAGAGATGGTATGAACAACAACCAAATACTGTTATCCAAGATAACGATATAACTATCCTCTGGGACATGCCAATTCAAACTGACAGGGAAATAAAAACCAGCTAGACCTGATATTATTATAAAGCACAAGAAATTCAGGAAGTAGTGATTTTCCAAGCGTAGCTCAGATGTGGCACAATGACGAAAGTACGGTGCACCAAATGAAGATCGAACTCACTACTCTGTCGTAATAGTTCTAGCGAGACAAGATTGCTAACCATTACACCAGCACGAGGTGCGCAAGAAATCCAGGAAGTATATGCTTATTGACATAGCAATACCATCTGAGAGAAACACCTCCATGAAAATTATCGAGAAATTATCCAAGTACAAATACCTACAGATCGAGATTAACAGTATGTGTGGAATGAAGATTGAGACTGTACCAATAGTAATCGGAGCACTGGGCCTCGTGAGAAAAGGAATGGACAATTTTACTAATAGTTTTCCAGGTAACATCAACATACAAGTTGTCCAGAAGATCGCCCTACTAGGAAAATCCCATATACTAAGAAAAGTGTTATCAATTAAATGACAATTCTCCTATAGGGTCTAAGGATCATAGTTTAATCCCGAATCTACAGGATACAAAGCAGGAAACATAACATACACAAATAATAATAATAATAATAATAACAACAACTAGAAATACTCATGAAAATTTAATTTTAAAGTTAATGATTGAATAAACACCTTGCGAATTTCATTACTATAAAATACTCCTGGAAATGAACCAAGCGTCTAATTAATACGGGAATCCAAAATATAACATTTGAATATATTGTGTCGATTACCTATACTATACATATATATATATATATATATATATATATATATATATATATATATATATATATATATAGTACAGGTAATCGATCCGTTGGTATATAATCCGGTTGGATCCTAGTAACAATCAATATTAAAACTGATCCACAGAGAGCTTGATGTTTTTATTTTAACAGAGCATATGTATTTTTTACAAAAAAAAAAAAGATTACTTCAAGATCGGAAAAGACTATTTCAAACCGTCCATTAACGGCTTTCGTCAGCCGACTAAATACTAAGGATTATATTTTAACTGTTAAAATTAGAAATCCTTGAAAATGGCTAAATGTATAGCCGAAAGCGCTCGGATAATAAGAACATTCGGACAGTTTTATAATTTATCATACGAAAAGAAAAAATTATTAGATCGCATAAGAAATTGTATAAAAAACTAAATAAAAGCAACTTGTCTGTCGTTTTCACTGAAATGTGCATGAAAGAAGGATTGCTGCCTAAATACACGAATATATATATATATATATATATTACCTGTACATATTACCTACATCAGTTTTATGTATGTACAATCGTCAGGTACTAATAATTATGAACTTTTAAATATGGTTGCTTTAAAAAGTTCTGTGTCTCGAGGGAGCAACGTTATATTATATATTGATACAACGTTTAAAATTATTATAATTATAATTTAATATTGGAGTATAAATGCAAAATATAGTGTGTGAATAAGAAAAATATATATATATAAACTTGTTATTACCTGGATATTCAGTCAAAACGAGAAAAATATTAAAAAAAAAAAAAAAAAAGGAATGGGGCAACCGGTTATCGCTTCACACTTTCCAGAGCTCGATCGATGAAAGTTAAATTTTTATGCACACGACTAAAAAGGAAAGATGAGAAAGAAAATAGACGCGTATCAATAATATACTGTGACGGGTTTATTTTTACAAAGAAATCACATTCAGCCTCAACAATCGATTATTCATTTGGCATAAGGAAGTTTTGCGTTGATTTCATGAAAATCATTTCCAGGATCTTTAAATGGCAACTGGAAGGCGATCTACACAAAACAGAGAACTTTTTTCCCAAAAGTATGATACACATTCTCGATTTTTTATAAGGTGTTCTGCGATTGCAGACACGGATACAAATTATCTAATCGACCCTTTCTAATAGAAAAGAATTACTCAACATGTCCCAGCAACTATTGTCTTGTTTTTTAAGCATTTCCCCCCAAGCAAGGCGGGAAACCACTAGCATGCAAGGGGTTACAGAGGATTTGGAGCGAGATCAGATAGGAGTGATAGAGGAAAGGATGAAGAAAATGATAGGGGATAGATCAAGGCATCTGGAGACGTCGATTGACATTACATTTGAATAGTTGGAGATTATAGCTCTCAGGGAAACAGGAAAAGGGAAGGGAGTTCCACAGGTGAGAGGTGCGAGATATGAAGCTATTGGAGTAGGAGAGACGTCTACACTTAACAGTTTCAACAGTGAAAGGGTGAGAGCGGGATGCCAGCCTCGTAGGGCGCTTGAATTCACGAAGTCTGGGGACCAGCGAAAGCAGCTCATCGGAGCAATTACCATGAAAGTATTTGTAAAAAAGACAGAGGGAGGCGACGGCACGTCCGTGAGAGAGCGACTGCAGACGAGATGCCAGGTCAGGGCCAATTAAGTTGCATATCCGCCTCTGGATCTTATCAAGAACCCCGAAACAAACAGAAGGGGCTCCAGAGCATTATATGGCAGCAATATTGGCCTAACTTGTAGCCAGCTTCACAATGACATTTGGCTTTTAAAATTACGTCCTTTTTCATTTATTAATAAATAGAAATGAAATTAACCTGCTGGTATAAAAGCTTAAGGGCTGTAATCATGTGAGTTTAATAATAAAAAGTTTAATATAAAATAGTTTTGTATTTAAATTGCTGAAATAATGACAACGATTTAGTTTTTAAACCTTTGACCTCCACCTCGACCGTGGTAAATAAAGACGATATCTTTTTATAGAACCAATTAATTACTTTGAAGAGAATCTCCCCTCTCTCTCTCTCTCTCTCACACACATACACACACACACACACACACATTCACTATACTAGCAGATGCTGAAAAGTTATCGCCCCGACAAAGAACCTTCAAAAAGCCTAATGTTTGATCATGATGTCAGAGTTTTGGGAATTGTATCAGGAAGAAAACGTTCCATCACTTGGCTTTTCTAATTGTATAATCGATGGGCAAATAAAATTATTTTTTTACGGGAAACTCAAGCAGGTACAGAAATTTAAATATCTGGGAAGTTGTTCTAACAGAGGACGGCAACTGCGACACTGAGATCCGAAGACGTATAGCGATGGCCAAAGAGGCATTCCAAAATCTAAGCAGGGTATTAAGAGAGAGAAAAAATTCGTTAGAAACAAAGAAAAGAGTATTGAACTGTTGCATGATATCTGTCCTCCTGTATGGCAGCGAATTCTCGACAATCTCCTCAAAGATGAAGAAGAGACTTGAAGCAATAGAAATGTGGTTCTACAGAAAGATGCCGAGAATACCATGGGCCGAACATATGATCAACGACGAGGTTTTAGAGAAAATGGAAGCAAAATGAAACTTATAATTAATATCAGAAAGAGGCAGTTGAAATTTCTGAGGCTTGTAATGAGGAAGGAGGGCTTGGAAAATTTGATACTCACAGGACAGATTGAGGAGAAAAAGGGACAGAGGAAAGCAGCGCGTAACATACTTGATGGGCTCCAGCAAATGGATGGCGGGACAGGGTTTGGGAAAAATAACAAAAAGACAAAACTTATTATGAGCTACAAGGGACAGGAGGGAGTGGAGGGCCAAGATCGTCTACGTACTGAAGGGGCACGGCACATAAAAGAAGAAGAAGAACATTTGTTTAGGCTTGCCACATTTTATACATTTATTTTACGCTTGTATCTCTTGAGGTAGAACCAATTTCCTCGCGTGTTCTCTGCTTACACACTATTCCCAAATGTAACATTCATGTAACTTATTTCCTTTCTGGGAAGCTATCATGTTGAGATCATCGACAGGGAACACCATTGGAAAATTCGTAAACTTAAGGAATCGGCACATATGCTAGGCCACAAAAATCTCCTGAGCCGACCAAGCATAGAAATAAATACAATATGGGAACCAGTAATAAGGAGTGCCAGAGAAAAAAAGCAATGATAACATAGTTGCAATATGAACTCTGGTAAAGACATGCAATGATAACAGCAAAATTGCAATATGAGCACTGGTAAAAATGATGCTGAAAACATTAGGTTTATAATACTCATGAGTTCATACCCAGATGTCCTCAAGGACACATGGCACAGTGGATAAAGGCGTTGGTTAGATCCAGTGACAGACCCAAAGAAGGTGAGTTCAATACCTGGTTAAGGCAGGCGATAACTGATTACATGGCACGTGGAACTAAAACAGTCTACCCCAGTGATCGAAATAAAGGGTTCAGTTCGAAATTCCAACCACCTGAAGAAGGTCGAAACGTTGTGACAAATATTAGGACAATAGTCCGACTAATGTAAATTCATGTAAGCAAAGTATAAGCTTACAATCCATTAACCATTAAGAAAAATAGTCTTACTTCTTCAAGTCATATTCTTTGTTATTCTTTTGCTTGTTTGTTTGTTATTAAGACTTATGTCTTTTAATAAACCTGCTGTTGAACAGGACTTCGTCTTCAGTGTCTTAATGGCCGCAAGGCGTTTATCTGGCTGTCTTGAGATACACACACATCCGATAGGGGCCCATACTCAGGAACAGCTTCATCTGAATTTATAAAGGGTGTTCCAATAACTTGGACCGATTTTAAATGTGAATTAACTTTAAGCGTCTAATGATTTTATTTTATTTTTCCTTCAGATTAGGCGGATATTTGGGCGATGTTATTTTTTACACATAACTGCTATGACTTAAATAACATGATCCAATAGAGAAATAAATAAATTTTCACCAATAACACTGATTTATTGACTGCTGACTTTGATCCGTCTTAATGAAACACCCTTATATATAATCCGTCTTAATGAAACAGCCTTTACAACAAGAAAGCAACTAGCTCAAAACTACTACATCCCTTCAGTAATATAGCATATACGTACCCACCTCCACCGAATCCCCCCACTTTTTTTATTTTTCGTTTCATTGAGAAAGAACACAGGCATGTCACAAAAAAGTTTAACATCTTTCTTATCATACTTCTATTTGGTCAAAAGGCCTACTAATATATAATAAATATTATTAGTTTTATTATCAATATTATATGATGCAATAGAGAAATAAATAAATTTTCACCAATAGCACTGATTTATTTACTGCTGATACGATCCGTCTTAATGAAACACCCGTTATGTAGTTGGGTCGAGGTAGAAAAAGTTCCATGTTTTCGCAAGTGTAATAATGCAAAATAAAGGCAAACAGTCCCAGCCTGAACTTGAATTAAGTGCTCTGATTTCATTTCCAGGTCTATTATCCATCGGGCTACATTCAGCTTCTATATACATACGTGCTGCTGCTGATAAATCACGTGCCATGAAGGCACTGAGTTCACGAGAACCACTTGGTCCCTCTAGCTCTCAAGGTCTTGGCGGAACGTTGGAGCACCTTCCAGCGTCAGATTAATCATCTGGAGGATGAGATCCTTCCAGCAGCTGCATGATCCGCCAAGAGGTCGACTTAAGTTTGCATATGGCAGATCGAAATGGTAGATGACTCTGGTTGGATGCTCATCAGGTTATTACAGGACGTGACCGAGGCACTGAGCGATTGCGCGTAGGATGCTCAGCTGGCCGGTCGACCGACGGAGCGCTTCATTGGACCAGCGCACCCACTCGGTGGTACTGAGGGCGTAGGACCCCAAAGCAAAGAACGCAGGAGGCAATAGTTTTGCTTAGAGTTTCGTACAGAGAGGACAGTGGCGTCGTAAATTCGTAGCTTGGTGTGTGGGGAGATACATACGGACATGCATTTAAAAACACATATGCATATAACCCTAATGTACTGATACAAGCACACACACACGCACACACGCACACACACACGCACACACACACACACAGACAAATATGCGTATATGTTTAAACGCATTCACACATTCAGAAACGTATCCATCTCCTGTTTACAGAGTATTAATCGCATTCCATCGTAATAGATAGCATTTTTCTTTTCTTATTTCTTCTCTTTCGTGTTTTATCGGCCATTATCTTAGATTATTTTTTTTTTTCGCATTTTTGACTTCACTCGGAGTTTTTCCATCTCCCCAGACATTTTGTTAGACTTTTTCTAATCCCCAGTTAACGCAAAAGTTGATCGATTTGTGATTCATAATTTGAAAATGTCTCATAAAAGTAAATATTATTTCTATCTTAATAAATATGTTCATTATCTATCTATCTATCTATCTATCTATCTATCTATCTATCTATCTATCCTTGTTTGTCATATTGTACAAAACATATTTGAAATAAAGGTTGCTAGTCAAATATACATTATATATATATATATATATATATATATATATATATATATATATATATATATATATATATATATATATATATATATATATATATATATATATATATATATATATATATATATTAACATATTCTACTTATCATCTTAATATGTTCTTTATCTATCTAGCATTCTATGTTATTTATCTATCTGTATTACCATTTATCTATCTATTCAGTGTGTCATATTTAAAAAAATATATTTGAAAGAAATGTTGCTGTCCAAATATATATATATATATATATATATATATATATATATATATGGATATGTTATTTTTTTTCTCTATATATATATATATATATATATATTTAAATTATTTATCTATCAATCTATCTAAATATGTTCTCATATATATATATATATATATATATATATATATACATATATGTGTGTGTGTGTCTGTATTAATTATATTCCTTATTCATTCATCTATTCATTCATCTATTATTCATCTATCTATCCGTTTGTGTGTGCATACGTCTACATTTATGCGTACACAGCTCTACGAATATATAACCCAATGTTATATAAATAAATTTGGGCGAGTTGGAGGAATATGTTAATTATTTTTAGGGCTTTAAGTATATTCCATATCCTTTTTCAGATTTTAAAAATCTATTTTTTCCGAAGATTTTTTTTAACCATGTTGTCTTTTTAAATGCCTTTAAAAGAAATAAGTAACTCTCTCCGAAAGCGAATATTTAACGGCTTCTTATTTTCAACAAAATATTTATCACAAAAGCATTATTGCCGAGAGAAAACAAAACATTCATCCAAATTGTACACACACACACACACACACACACACACACACACACACACACACACACACACACACACACACACACACACAATTCAGACACAGAAACACAATGGCAGAAAAAAGCAGTTAAACAGAAGAACATGCTAACACACAGCCCACATACACATTCAAGAACTCACATAGGTGCCTATCAAATAGACATGAATTGAGTAGTCATTTTTCATTCTTAAAATAAAATGTCCGATCTTTAGGAGTAAAATTCACTACTGACATTGTTAAGGAAAGAGATCATGTTGAAAATAATTGTTAAATAAATTAGGCAACGGACTTAATATACCAACATATACATATATTGATTGGCACTTACATTACTCACTCTGTCTGTCTGTCTCATATATATATATATATATATATATATATATATATATATATATATATATATATATATATATATTTAGTTATGTATTTGGGCAAGTACTGACAAGGAACTGCCGTTAATTTTTTTATTTAATCTTTTTTTATGTTCTTGTAATATTTTTTTTTTTTTACAAGCCGGTAGATGTAATTAACATTGTTAAAAATATATAGTGTGTCTATTTTAAACATGTGCGCTTACAAAAAATAAAATGTTTAAATAATAAACTATATATATATATATATATATATATATATATATATATATATATTTAATACCAGTTTGTGACTGGTGGGATAATTCCAAGGAGAATATTTATCAAAAGAGAGCTCAATGCAAATTTAAATTACAGAGCATTATAATAATAATCAAGGAAATATATATATATATATATATATATATATATATATATATATATATATATATATATGGGCAAACGTTATATAAATTTTATATATATATAGAATAATTTTAGGTAAAAATATGAAGAAGAGAAAGAAACTAAATGAAATCGTATACTCAAAGCATGTATTAAACAAATAAAAAAAAAAAAATTAATTTAATCTTTAACTTATCAACGTCCCTCCTCGTCGTGCACACGTAGTAAATGCATCAACGTAAGCGTTTTTTAGTTCGATGATGTCCTAACGGACGACAAAAAACTTTTCTCACTTTGCCATATATATATATATATATATATATATATATATATATATATATATATATATATATATATATATATAATAAGTCTATACGCTACAGTCGAAATGCTTGAAACGCCGTTTCAGAATTAGCCCAGGATGAAAAAAAGCTCTATGAGCCATTAAAAAAGAATGGAATCAGTTATGGAACTTATAATTTCTCAAAGAATGCAAAAAAATTGGGTTTCAATAATCAAAGCTGAAGGAGTATATTTTGACGAAAGCAAAATTTTATAAAATTCCTTTTTTCTTTTTGAAATAATGAAATATCAAATAAAAATCATGTCTCATTCTTTTAACCTATATAATAATTTTCTCTCATTTAATGTACCTTTTTGGACCAATTACAAAATTACCAGTGGTGGTCACAAAATTTTGAAAGATAGCATATATATATATGTACATATATATATATATTTATATATATATATATATATATATATATGGGAAAAAATATATTCCAAAGTGGAAAAAGTTTCGTCCTTTAGAACTTCATCGGACTATATTACTCCGATGAAGTCCCATTGGGCGAAAAATTTTTACCACTTTATATATCGGTAATGACGGTTTGTAGGAGAAACTTTGTAC